CCTACACGAACAAACAGCAGAGCTAGGTGTGTATACAAAGAGCTTCCTTTCCAAATATCCGGATGAAATGAGTTTTCAGCCTGTCTGGAGTGTGAGGGGAGTGGTCACTGAAGGTGCCAAGAGGGACAGGAGGGACAGGAATGGTATAGAAGCATCTTTAGTGTTAGACCAGTGGCCCCACACATCCTGAAGGGAATGTTGCATAATTCCTGGCATTTAGTTAGTGCTGAATATGTGTTCGTGCTTTTAAAAGTGCTAGTTGAAGTTAGTCTAACTTTGAGTATTGGAAGGCCTCTAAAATTATCTAGTGTGACCTTCCACTCAGAAACGGAATTCCATTTACAGTGTCCCTGCAGGTGGCCACTCAGCCTCGGCTTCAGCATGTTCAGGCTTGGAGTCATAGTGATGTGTGAGACCTGAGAAAAACTGAGCCTAGGTTTCTTCTTCTATAAAATGAGGAGAATGAGAAAATGTAGACAAAGTATGTAGCGCAGGAGCTGGTACACTGCGTCCCTGTACCGGTAGCATCAGCATGTCCTGGGGACTTGTTAGAATTGTAGCTTCTCAGTTCTGAATCAGAAACTCTGGGGGAGGGAGACTCAGATGCAACAGCAGTTTGAGAATCAGTGCTCTAGAGCCACAAAGGAAAAAGTCTAATTCCCTTCCAAGAGAATCATTCACTGTCTGAAGACATTCTTCACGTTCTTCCTACGTTTTATCGTTCCCACCAACATCCTCTCCATTTCCTCAGCCATCCTTAATTTACCATGTATTCCAGATCGCTTGCCATCCTTATTTTCCCATCATGTTCTCATTGTAAGTGACCCTCTTAAAAAGGGGGGCCCCCAGCACTACACCAGGGCCCCTGAAGAGTCTAAGCAACACCCAGGGCAATGGATTTGCTGCCTTCTCTGTCCTAGACACATTGACAGCTCTTTGTTGAGTGCTCACTCTGTGTCAAGCACATGACATACAATAGCTTTTTGTTTACTTTTTTTTAATTGAGGTTAAAATTACATACTTTCAAGTCCGAAGTGAACAAATTGAATTTTTACATGTGTACACATCCACCCAGATCAGGATATACAACTTTCCAGCACCCACTTCATACATGGTCATGTGCTTGCTCAGTATTATATCTATGAGAACAATAGTTCATTATTTTTCATTGCTATGTAGTATTCCGCAAAGTGCTCACACCACAATTTATTTATCCCATCTACTATTGGTGAACATTCAGGTTGTTTCCAGTTTGGAAGTATTATAAATAAAGCTGCTGTGAACATTCTTTACTTGTCTTTCAGTGGACATAGGCTCACATTCTACTGAGAATGAAGAGGTGAAATTGCTAGGTCATAGGATCGCTTTAGCTGTTAGCAGGTGCTGCTAAATAGGTATCCAAAGTGATTTTACCAGCGTGTACTCCTGCTAGCGTTCCGGTTCCTCCCCATCTTACATTGCCAGTCAAGCTGATCTTCGTCACTGCGTTGGCACACACTAGTATCTCAGTG